TGGTTTCTCACAGTTCTGGAGGCTGGAAGGCCAAGATCAAGGTGGCAGCCAGCATGGTCAGATTCTGTATCTAGTGAGGGCCTGCTTCCAAGTTCATAAATGGCAACCTTTTTGCTGTGTCCTCATGTGGTAGAGGGGCCAGTGAGCACTCTGGGTCTCCTTTATAGGGGCAATAATCCCATTTATGAGGGCTCACCTTCATGAACTAATTACCTCCCAAAGGCCCCATCCCCTAACAGCTCAAAATGAGGATTAGGTTTCATTACACACATTTCTCCAGCTATCTGAAAGTAGAGAGTTCCTGTGAAACTTATTGGAAGTTGAAATAATGCAAAGCAGAGAGTATCCCCAACTTCACCACAGTTGGTGTTACACCACTTAGCTTTTACAAAAGACCTACATTAGTATGGAAATAGATTTTTCCTAGTAGTAAAAATCCTCTTAGGATTTGTTTAGCAAAAACTGGTACTAATGTAGATTTTTCATAACAGTAAAGCAGTATGATACCACCTTTCAAAAAGGGAAACCTATATGCATTTGGAGGAGACACAAATATTAAGACTCCAGCAAGCCCTCAGAAGACATCAGAATGGGAGAGAAGGGAGTATTTTAAGACAGACTAGGTGAGAATTCTCTAAAAGTGAAAAAGGTATCAGTTTATAGATTCAAGAATATTTATGAACCCTAAGCAGGATAAATATGAGGTAAACAGTACCTAGATTCATCATAGTAAAGTTGTCAAAAAAGCGCTGTGAAAACCATAAGGGATGGGAATACAGGAAGACTTGGCCTTCACAGAAGCAACAGTAAGACTGTCAGATGACTTTACCACAGCAGCATAGGAATTCATAACATCCTTGAAGTATTGACAGAGGATTAACTGCCAACCTCACGTTCTATGTGTTCTTCATAAAGAACAGTAACATAAGACTTTTCAGACTTAACGAAAACTGGGAGACTGTCATGGTAAACCTAAAGTAAAAATTGGTTTTCTCTAGGCAGAAGGAAAATGATCCCAGATGAAAACAGGAGAATAAATAGTTGTTGATGGGAGGAAACAACACTCACAGCATTGGTTGGGTTTAAGATATATGTAGAAATAGGGGATCCCTGGGTGGCGCAGCGGTTTGGCGCCTGCCTTTGGCCCAGGGCGCGATCCTGGCGACCCGGGATCGAATCCCATGTCGGGCTCCCGATGCATGGAGCCTGCTTCTCTCTCTCTCTCTCTCTCTCTCTCTCTCTCTCTCTCTCTCATAAATAAATAAAAATAAAAAGATTTAAAAAAAAAGATATATGTAGAAATAAAATTCACGACAAAAATCCAGAAGAGCAAAAGTAGAAAAGATACGAAGGAACAAATAGAATTAAAATGTTTCAAGTATGTTCCATTATTTGTGAAGTTGTCAAAGTCCTGATCTGTATTATTTCTAAAAGGAGAGTGAAAATGACTAAGCAGCTGATGGGGTGGGGGTGGGGGATGGAATGACAAAGGATTAACTAAAAAAAAAAAGACCAGAGGAGAGAATAACATCAAAAAGAGGGATCAAACATAGATAATCCTAACAAAGATTTAAACCACTTATATCACCAATTGCTTTAAATGTAAATGGACTAAATACTGTTATTAGAGACAAATATTATATGAAAAACTAAAAAATATAGCAGAATGCTACTTAGAAGGGACACAACTTAAATCTAAGGACACAGAATGGTTAAATTTTAAAAAGGGAAAAGTATCTACCACATTAATACTAATCATAAAGCTGGTCTAGCACTACTTGTATCAGGCAAAGTAAACTTCAGGGCAAGAGGCGTTACCGTAAATTGTTCATCAATTCACTGGGAAGATGACATTTCTACATGTTCTATATGTACCTGGCAATAGCCACAGATTCATATAAAGCAATGTGTTGAGAATTAAAAAGGGGCAACCATCTTGGATCCCCTCCTTCTTTGAGAGCTTTCTACTATGATTCAGTAAACTTTTCTTTTAGTTTTTTTTTTTTTTAAAGTAGACAAGTTCATAATGGTAACTTTATTGTAACTCTTGGGAAGTGATAGAGCAAACAAGAAAATTAGTAAAGATTTAGGATAGACAACACAACCCTTGGTATATGTAGAGTATTTCATCAGAAAAATCTAAACATGTATTCTAGTACACATGGACCACGTAGCCACATTGCTTATATGCAAGATCAGACTACTCAACAAATTTCAGAAGATTGTAATTTAGAGTATCTTCTGTCCACAGGGAGATTAAGCTAGAAATTACTAATGAAAAGAGAATATCCCCAAATGATTGAAAATAAGGTAGTATACTTCCAATTACCCATAGCTAAACTGAAAGCCACAAGCAAAATTAGAAAATGTTTTGAACCAAGAAATACAGCATATCAAGACAGGAGATTTAATGACCTAGTAGAATTAAGTGAGTTTAGTAAGTTTGCTGGACACCTAATCAGTATGTAATATCAACATTAATTCTCTGTACCAGAGCCAATTAGAAAATGAGAATCTAAAAACTCTGCCATTTACTATAACATCTAAAAAGAAGAAATACCTAGGAGCATAGAACAACAAGAAAGTTGTTACCTTAGTATAAAGAGAATTATAAAGTATTAAGTGAAATTAAATAAGATCTAAATAATTAAAGAAATAGACAATGTTTACTGTTTGAAGACTCAGTATTATAAAGATAATGGTTTTGGCCAAGGTATTCAGAAGATTAAGCATAATCATAAATCCCAGGAGCCTTTTTTTTTTAGTCATAGAAACTGAGACTTATATGAAAATGTAGAAGACTTATACCATCACTTATCAAGAGTTACTATTTTAAAAGTTACGGTATTAAGGCAGTATGATTTAATGCAAGGACAGAAATCAGTCACATTAGAGAGTCCATAAACAAACCCATATATATATATATATATATATATATATATATATATATATGGACAAAAGTGTGTGAATGGTGTTAACTGCCAAGCAGTAGGAGATATTTTTTTAGTAATGTTGCCATGTCAGTTGGAGCTCTATATGGGGGGGGGGGGGGGATAAAAGAAACTTGATCTCACACATACTTAAAACCAACTACATATGAATTGATCTTGAACCTTCAAGATGGTATAAAAGAACATCTTCATACAAGAGTTGCTTCAAGACTGAGGCAGGCAAAAATTTCCTTAAATTGTACATAAAAGGCACTAGCCAAAAAAGAATAGATAAAGGACCCCTGGGTGGCGTATTGGTTGAGCTTCTGCCTTAGCTCAGGGCGTGATCTCAAGGTCTGGGAGTCCTGCATCGGGCTCCCTGTGAGGAGTCTGCTTCTCTCTCTGTCTCTCATGAATAAATAAATAAAATCTTAAAAAAAAATGATAAATTTGGACTATGTTAAAATTAAGTCAAATATCCTTACAGGAATGAAAAGACAAGACCAAACTAGTAGAAAATATTTGAAATTCAACCAACAAAAGACTTACTCCTATATGTATAAAGAACTATGAATATAGCAGTAAGGAAAAACACATAGCCAAATAGAGCCAAGTGCCACATGGTTGAACAGGAACTTTACAAAAGAGTGCCATTAAAAATATTAAACCATGTTCAACCTAATTAGGTTTTGAAAAAGGTGCAAAATAAATTTACAGTGAGATACCACCGCATAACCTATCAGAATGGTTTAAATGGCAAAAAAAAAAAAAGTTATATTACCAAGTGCTGGTAAAAATACAGAGCATTAGAGTGCTCACAGAGAAGTATAAATGAGTACTACTACTTTGAAAACTATTTGACAGTACTTACTAAAACTGAAATTCTCCTCCCCTAGGGCCCTTCTGATTGAATCCTAGGTACATGCCCAATAGAAAGGCATACAAACATGGGCTCATAGACATGTCCAGTAATGTTCACATCAGCATTAGAGAACAAAACTACGAACTAACCAAACATCCCTTAACAGTGGAATGAATAGATTACATATTCATCCAATATAAGACTGTGTAGTAACGGCAGTCCTCAACTATACCAAATACAAAATCAATGTTACTAACTCGAAGAAGCCAAACACAAAGTAATACATACAATTCCATTGCTATGAAATTCAAGCAGTCAAAATTTATTTGTGGTATTAGAAATTAGGGTAGTAGTTACCTTAAGGAGAGGATGAGTGGTTAGTGGCTGGGAGGAAGCACAGAGGGATTTCTGGGGTTCTGATAACCTTCTGTTTCTTGATCTGCATGGAGTAGTTTGCTTTGTAAAATGTTAGCACAATGGACATTTGTCATCTGGCATTTTACCATTATTCAGAAAATGTTTATGTTGGAAAAAGAGAACGACATATACCTACTAACTCTTCCCTATGGGAGTTGTGTCCGAAAGAAAGAAAAGCACCTGTCCCTTAAGAAATATGTTCAAAGAACCATGAGCTAACTCTGTTAGATGATAGGATGTTTTACCACAGTGTTGCTTGTAGTACCAAAAGTCTGCTATTGAGAGACCAGTTGAATAAATCATCGAATATCCATATTGTAGAAGGTTGCACATTTGTTTTTTAAAGAAATTTTATCATATGTGTCGAGATTCTTGTGTAAACTTAGGGAAAAAAGGAGAAAGGCATATTATTACCAAAGGTGGAAGTAGAATTAGTGACCAGGTGAAGACAGATAATTCCATTTTTCATGGTATATCTTTGTATAATTAACCATTTCTTACGTGTTTTTACCACTGGTCCTTGTGGCAACTCATTTTCCTGCCTTCACGTTCTGTTACCTTATAGTATTTAGCTAACCTTCACTGACTGGGCCTGGATCATTGTAGCTTACAAGACAACACAACTTTTCAGGAGAACCTTGGCTTTTCAAGGTAGTGTGTGACTCAGAAGTACAGCGCGAGGCTGCATCATGATAGGTACTGTCTAATAGGATTATGATCGCAAGTCCAGGTCCTGCAAAGTAGATTTACCACTAAAACATCAGAGTTCTGGCTTGTTTCTTTCTTTCAAGCGGGAACAAGAAAGTCAAATGGCTCGTCTCAAAAAACAGCAGGAAGAATTGGAACAGATGAGACTACGTTACCTGGCTGCAGAGGAAAAAGATACGGTGAAAACCGAGAGACAAGAGTTGTTGGATATAAGGAATGAATTAAACAGGTATGATAACCAAAAAAGGCCCCCTTTTTTCTATACAGAAACAAGTTTCAGTAAGAGAACCTCACAGCCATTGGTCCAGGGGCGGGTTCGATGTCAGGGCCATCAAGAATAAAGGAGGTCACGTACCTAGTGTAGTCAGTGCACTGACAGAATCAGACATCTACACTGAAGACCATTACGCTCAATTTATTGCCATGAGTGTAGCTGTGTTTAGCTTTTTCATTCCTATTCATAATGTACTTTAAATTTTATTTTGTGTGACTGTTGTAGGATTGTTGTTACTATTTCAAAGTAATTGATTATACTGAAATTTTAATAACCTAAAATATTACTTAAAACCTATTTATATTAATCCTAAATTACACTTATTCAGCCCTTAGTGTATGCCAGGTACTATATAATAAATGCTTTCTTTTTTTTTTTTTATCTTGAAAGCAACTTTTTTGAGGAAGATATCCCATTTAGAGACGAAGAACCTGCTGATTAGAGATTTAAGTACCAAGGTCATGGAGCCGGAGTACAAATATGATTTTATGGCAATTAAAAAAAAATACGTATTTTAGAGAAAGAGTCAGAGTGGGGAGGGCCCAGAGGGAGAGGGAAAGGGAGAGATTCTCAAGCAGACTCCATATTGAGTGCAGAGCATGACACGAGGCTTAATCTCACAGCCCTGAGATCATGACCTGAAGCAAAACCAACAATCAGATGCTTAACCAGCTGAGCCACCCAGGTGTTCCTATGGCTATATTTTTAATTACTGGTCAACACTGTAGTTCTCAGTAATGTCATGTTCATCTTAGTGACAATTTCAGCAGTATCTTATGTCAGAAAAACTATCATTAGCAAGCAGCGTAAAAAGTTCTTTTTGGAGGGGAATTTGGGGGAAGACTTTTTAACTGAGTTTATCATGACACTAGTATTTTTGTTTCAGCTAAGACTACTGTCTTAGCTTGGGCTACTGATCACCATAGATTAGGTGGCTTCAACAACAGAAATTTTCTCATAGTTCTAGAGGCTACAAGTTCTAGATCTACCTGCCAGCATGGTTAGATTCCATGAGGACCTGCTGGCTTATCCATAGCTCCCACAATGTGGGGCGAGGGAGCAATCTCCTTTGTGACTCTTCTAATGAGACTGCTATCCCATCATGAGGTCCCCTTATGATTTTATCTAAACCTCATCATCTCCCAAAGGCCTTTTCTCCAAATACCATCACATTAGGGGTTAGAGCTTCAGCATACTAACTATGTACAAAAATTCAGTCCGTATCACCTACATTTGACACCTGCATTTATTCTATCAGGTCTTTTCAGTATTTACAATACTAATATACATTAGTATATTAGTCTTTTCCAATATTCATTGGAAAAGGTCAAGTGCCATCTACAGGGCTCAATTTTGGCTATCTTTCTCTTTTTATTCAGCAGATAATTGGTGTCCACAGAGTGCTGTAGACATGGAAGATGTTATAAATAACGTGATCCTTGCCTTCTAAAATGTTGCTGTCGTATATATAGAGTAGGGATAATCTATCACTTGTGTAAAAATTCTGTTTATCCTAAATGCATAAACAGATGAACAAGAACATGGTTGGGCTTTTTCATACATAGTTTGATGTTGTATATTATTAGTCTGCGTAGCGGACCTCTTTCTCCAAGAAAGCTGTAAGAATTAAAGTAGAGGGATAGTCCATACTGATTGCTCTAATTTGTACCACTATCCTGTTTAACCACTTGATTGCTACCCCAGTCCCAAAGCACAGTGCTTTTATGACACTTAGGCTTTTTGTCTTAGAACAGATGGAGGTGTTTGAGGTCCTTCTTGGACTCAGTAATTCAGTTTCCTGTTCTTTTGTGGGGAATCTGAGAGGGTCACCTGAACACACCAAAGTGCCATACTATCAACCGTCCTATACCCTTTCCGGTGCCCAGTCCTCCTTGTTTGTCAGAGCAGGACTCTCCTCACAGGCTCCTCTGCCTCTCCCCAACTCTGCAGAAATTTAGAAGTGGATTTGGTCCTCCTTGGCATACTTATTCTGAAGACCATCCAGAAGCAGGGGCTTAGACTCAACTGCTTCATCCTTCTTATTTATAAAGATAAATTTAGGAGTAGTTGCAAATTAAAACATTTTTGTAGCCACTTGCATAGAGGAGTATGAAGTTATCTCTTAATTGTACATTTTCAGTTAGATTAAAACGTACTCCACTGTCCCAAGTTGGTGTTACTATCACCTAGGAAAGTACACTAAGTATGCTGAACATTCATAAGGCCATGTGATTAACAGTATTCGATTGGAAATACCCAAATCCCAGTGTGGTAGCTGCTTTCTGTTCTCTGGCTCCTGGATGAGACATCCCAAACATACAAAGTCTTAAAATGTACATGCCTCTGAGAGGGGCGTTCATGTTGAAACAATGTCACTTTCCATAAATACTTAGTGATGTAAGCTTTGTAATAGAGTTTTCTTGAGTCACTGCAGTATCCTAAACACCTAGCACTGTTTGGAACAAATAGGTATTTGTTGAGTGCCTTAAGAAAATTTTGTTCAAAACTACAAAAACAAGGATTTATTAACAGCCTAAAGACCAGCAATAAAGGATGGTTAAATAAGGGTACATCCAAGTGAAAGAATGTTGTGACACCCTTTACAAGACACATAAAAATGTAGGAAAACATTCATTGTACCAGTGAGTGAAAAAAAGTAGTATCCAGCTTTGCCTATATCCTATCACTAATTTTTTAGAAAAATATTTAAGATGCATGTGCATTTTTAATTGAAAAATACAGAAAATTATTACTTCGAATGCTTATCTCTGGACAAGATCATCACACTCTTATTTTCTGTTTTACACATTGCTAGAACTGCAGTTTTTATTATATATTTTGCAATTAGAAAAACAAGTATTGTTTTCAAAACTGTCTTTTATGAGCATGCTAACTCTGGCTAGCCAAGTAGAAGACTGGCTTTTGTGGTCTTCCTAAAAATAATACTACAGGCATAATTTACCCTTAAATCATTTTTTAAAATGGTATTAACTAAAAAAATCAAAAACCAGAACACCACTTGTTGCCTGCTAGAGTGGCATTTGTTCTTGACTTCTCAGGTTAAGGCAGCAAGAACAGAAACAGTACCAGGATTCCAGAGAGATTGCAAGCGGAAAAATGGACAGCCCACGTGGCAATGCCCTGGAAGAAGGTTTGGATGATTATTTGACTCGACTCATAGAAGAAAGGGATACTTTGATGAGGACGGGTGTGTATAATCACGAGGATCGAATAATAAGTGAATTAGACCGACAGATCAGAGAGGTTTTGGCAAAAAACAGTGCCAGTAATTAATAACATTTGGAAAATCTTTACAGAGACTCCAGGCCTAAATTGTAATTTCATTGTAAAACCCTCAAAAGAAGGGAAAATGGATGTTTCAAAATCAATTTTCAATTTTTTTATAAGCAAAATTTTGTATGTTATTGTACAGTATTTATTTGATTTTATTTACTGTATGCTACCTCTCCCACTCTGGTTTTATTTGTAATTGCATTTTATACACTCATTTTAAATGACTTCAGTGTTTCTCATAATTTATAATTTCATGGCTAACTTTCAAAACAGCTTTTCACGAGATTTGTCCTTAGAGAAATGACTGCAGTAATTTCTAGTTGTATAATTTTTCAAGTTGAGCCAAAAGAATATATTTTGCCCTTTAAAAATGCTGCGTCCTATTCATTTGAATATAGCTATCTCAAAAGTTAAGGCCAATTGTAAACAATTTTTTTTTCACTTACTTTAGACAGTCTGAGTTTTTAACTTATAACATTTGCATGTGACAAGTTTGAAAACAGAAAGCAGGATCAATGCAGAGAAGCTGAAAGATCTGAATGATAAACTAGGGATTAATTTAAATAAAGCTAATACAGAGTGAACATGTTTCAACACCCATTGAATTTCCATATTTTCATTGTGCTCCTTTCAGGAAAATGAACGTCATAGTTGAAAAAAGTACTTGTCTGCCCATCTCTTTCCAAGATTGTATTATTTTGTTTTCTTGAAAAGATGGATTTTTTATTTTCCAATACGAGTAATGCTTGTTGTTAACCCAGACCCTTTGTAATGTAACAGGCAGACAGACACAAAGGCTTCTAAGAAAGAAGAGCAGAAAAATGACTATTTTGTTTTCCCCCTAATTTTAATCAATTGGCTTTTAAAGTACCCAAGATTAAGTCATTGGATTTCTGTCCTGCCCTGTGTCTACAAACTTCTTAGAATTCCTGTGCATTGTTTTCACAGCATTTGCCCTCAGGGCGACACTTTCCATCTCCTTTTACAGGGTTTGTTAGCAAATTCACAGATTATCTGAGTCTTAAGATAGATGTAGTTTAAAACTTCTGATTCCCAAATATAATAAATTTAAATGTACTTTAGGAAACATATAGCACTCACAAAGAACTTCCAAAAAGCATGTTTCCAAAAAAGCAGAATAGGCTGTTTGGAAACATAATTTTCTGTTGTTTTCAAAGAGGTATATTTTTTGGAGGAAAGGAAAGCCCTGCACGCATTATATGTTTTGTTTCCTTAATAACAAAGTATTAACCTTCTTAAAACAACCCAGCAGTAAATAACAGAGAACTAAATGACTGAGTGAGAGATTAAGGGCTACATGAGTTACAGCAGGAATGTGAAATATTAATTATGGTTAGACCTTTCTCTCGCTGATTCTCCTGCCGCATGAACTTCTGGAGGTCTCTGGGCAGTAAATGGCACTGGGCCCTTCACCTGCTTTTGTGCCCCGTGTGACTGTTTCCCAACACTAGAGGGGGCCTCGGATTCGGAGAAACAGAAAGGACTCTTCTGACTGGTGTGTGGTTCATTTGCCCCTCTGTCAGGCCATGTCCTGCTCCGTAACTTAAATAAAAAGTCACAGTCCTGCGCCCGGTGAGCTGAGCAGTCTGTGACTTCTGCTTCTCCGCAGAATCAGCAGGTGACTGGCACTTCCAGCCGCTCTAAGGAGCTGCCGTAGCCCCTATTTCTATAGGCTTGACAGTTGGGTACATCTGAAGTTTTAAATCCTTCTGGTAGTCCTTCAGCAACAGCCATGTCCTGTGTAAGGATCCTGGGTATTCCGAGTTACTCTGAGTGTTTGCGAGTTGAGGGTTGCCACAACAGATGAATGAAGGGAGGGTTGTCACCTAGGGAGCCAGGTTCCTCATTACTCTTTTCCTCAGGTTATCGCACCATGAGGTTTCGTACCTCACAGGTATCGTACCTCGCAGATGTTTGTGGCTCCTTGACACGGACAGTCTCTCGCCTGAGGCTGGCACACCCCCCCTCACCCATGGAAGGATCTATCAGGTTATCCTGGTTGACGGGGTACCTTATCTGTAAACCTGAAGACTTCCTTTGCCTGTGCAGCCCAGTAATTTCTATCCCGCTTGCAGATGTGGGAGTTGGAGTCGGTTTCAAGGACATATTGGGGCAGACATCAGTCCAGTCTGACCAGTGACTTTGCTGCCCAACCTGAATGTCACTGCTCAGTACCCAGTACACATTGCCTGCTCTCGCAGTCTGAAAAATGGTTTTCTGTGAGCTGTGTGGTGAATTTTAAAACCTGGCCTCTTGTACCATTAGGTCCACCTTTAAGGAATAGCCGACTTGATTTTTTTTTTAATTTTTTTAATTTTTATTTTTTATTTTTTTTAAAGATTTATTTATTTATTTATGATAGATATAGAGAGAGACAGAGAGGCGCAGAGACACAGGAGGAGGGAGAAGCAGGCTCCATGCCGGGAGCCCGGTGTGGGACTCGATCCCGGGACTCCAGGATCGCGCCCTGGGCCAAAGGCAGGCGCCAAACCGCTGAGCCACCCAGGGATCCCCTGATTTTTTTTTTTTAATCGATAAAATTCACAACCACAAAATTCACTTTTTTAAAGGATACAATTCTGTGGTTTTTAGGGATATTCTCATGATTGTCCAGCCATCACCACGATATAATTCTAGAACATTTTCATCAACCCCAAAGGAAACCCCATGGGGATTAGCAAGTCAGTCCCCATGCTCCCCTCTGCCTAGCTCCTGGCGACCACTAATCCACTTTCTTTATCTTAGGCTTTGGCTATTCTGGGCATTTATGTAAGTGAAGTATTTAAAACTGGAAATAATAAAAAACCTGAAGTAATTTTCTATAACCAGTTCCTATGGTACATATTTTATCAGATGGTGAATAAAGTGGTAACAGATCCAGAAGGCTAAAATAAGGGTATAACATGTCAATCTATTAAGACGATAGCTCCAGTCTTACTATCAATTACCTCCTAAGCAGGGATGAGCACTCGTTGTAAAAGGTGAAAAATGTTCTGCTATAACAGCCCTGAGCAATCCCATGGTGCTGGCAATGACTTACTGATACGGGCATGGGTCAGGCCCCTGGCATCATATCCAAAGTGCATGCTGCCCCCATGTTTTGCCGAGTTTTGCAATAATGAGAAGCATGGTTAACCACAAAGTATGCTCAGTGAGGACAGACAACAGGTCCAGCTTATTTTCTGCCATCTGCCAGGACTAAAATAATGCCTGCCACATGTAGTCACTGAGTACTTGTTGTAGTCATGAAGAAATAAGGAAAGATTCTGTATGGTTTCCCAGTCAAAAGACATAAAAAATTAACTGTGATGGAGATGCTAGGAAAACAGGCTCTTCTGACCTTCCGGTCCCAGGTCCTGCTGAAGTCGAGGACTATTTTTTGTTGCACTGTCATGCTTTTCAAAACTGTGCTTCAAATGCTGTGAGACAGAGTGAGTCCAGATTACCAGGGGCTGGGGCTGAGACTGAGAACGAGTGAGTGCTGAGGGGGGACAGAATTTGTTTGTGATGAAAATGTTCTGGATTAGGTAGAGTGGGAACGGTTGCACAGCCCTGCCTATAATATATTTAATGCCAGTGAATTGAATTAGGCACTTAAAGATGGTTAAGACTTTATGTACATGTATTTTACCACAGTTAAAAAAAAACAAAACTTCATGTCTGTCTACCTAGTGCTTTCATGCTGGCAGTTTTCTGCATGTGAGTTGCCAGCCAAGCCATTCTGGAGGATCCTATCTTCTCATTCCCTGGCTGTAGGAATAGAACAGACACTTTGTTAGATGTTTGCTGCACCTTTGTTAACAAAATCCAAAGTTCCTGAAAATTAATGGCTACTTTTTCATTCTGACTTCTAGAGGTGAATTGAAACTTGCTGTAACACACCCATCTTTTATAAAATTAAGACCTTGTCCTTTAAACAAACAACACCCCCCCCCAAAAAAAAAAAAAAACTACCCACAACAACTGGTGTTTCATTTAGGAGATAGTCCAGACCATGGACATAAATTGGTTAGAGAATTTTTCACAATGGATTTCAAATTGCCTAAGTTAGGCTTCATAGTCTTCTTATTGGTTGGTGGTCTTACCCAGTGATGAAGTGATTTGTGCGGGAGTACTGAGTAAAGTCTGGTTGGATAATTTTCCATACGGTATGTGAAAATCTAAACCCATCTTTGACACTTGTTTTTTTGGCACCTGTAACACCTGGATGGCACCTGGGGCTTAAGGGCCCAGACTTTGCAACATTCCCTTTTCTGCTGCCTGCTCTAGAGCATTTCTCACCCTTCTTCCTTCCTCTCCTCTTCCCCCAGCTTCTGTGACTCAGGAAACCAAGATGTAACACCTCTAACTTGGTATAAATGGGAAATTCAGACAGAATCATGTAAGCACCTAAATTTTTCACTAAAACTCAAAGAGCCAGAGTATTCACTGATTGTATTACATAACCTCAATTTGGCATCAAGTTCGAATCCACTCTTGTTAGGAATGTAACTGTAGAAAGGCTGCTATATACTTAAATCTCATTTTATTTGCTTCTCTGGGGGGTTGTCTTCATGTTTTCATTAGAAATGTTTTTACAGATGTAGGCTCTTCAGATATAAAGTTGCTGAAGTGGAGACTCAGAAGTTTAGCTTTCAGACTCAGAAGTTTAGCTTTCAAATTAAAGGGGGGTAGAAATCTGTTTAGAAAGATTAATTTATAGATAAATAATTTACTGACTGATACGTTAATGTACAAGGATCCCTAGAGGCTTTTAAAGATGTAGTCATTATATTTTTAAGGTTTCTAAGAATGTTAAACCTGTCATTCATAACAGGACAGAACTAAAATAAGGTCCATTTATAATTTCTTCTTGGAAACATTTCATCCACAAATTCATAGACAAATATTTTTTCTTTTCCAAATAACCTATCTCAGAGTTGGACGGCACAATCCTTTTCTTGATTAACATGTTAACTAGCTGAAAGCCTGCAGATACATTGGATGAATGCTGAGTTTTCCTCAATATTTTATATTAAAACTTGGCTAGTGAAAAAGAAATATTACTGCAAAATCTTGCTTTGACATTATTGTAAATTTTAGTGAATGCCAACCCAATACTGAGAAAGTCTGTGCCTGGTAGGTTTGTGGTATTTTAAGCTCTTCTTCGGCAAATTCTCTTCTCTGTGAATAAACTGAACAGGATTAAAGCATTAAAGACCTAGTCCCATTGCTAGGACTTCTTTCTATAATCTGAAAAGTCAACATTTGGTTGCTAACATTTCCATCTGTTTTCTTGAAAGAATCATCAATTGTCAAGCAAGACTGGTACTGTATTACTTGAGTTCAGTTCACATTTTGAGCAAAATGTGATGCTCTGAATAAAGTCTGGCAGATCAGGAACTTGAGGCCAAAATATTGAGCCCCTACCTTTAGTCATGCTGTTGAAAATGAGTGAGCTAGTGTTGCAGACTGGTGTATTCACCTATTGCCTCAAGGAAAAAAAAATTCAGTTCCTTTCTTAACTTCATTGTTGGCAGATGAGATTGATGGTCTTGTCTTGGTTACTGACAGATGTTTATTTAGATAACAAATTTGTAAAATCTTCACAAAGAAAATAAAGGTACGAAAGAAGAAATAGTTTTATAAATAGTCTTCAGAAGTAATTTAGCCCATAGACTCTTTTTGCCAATAAAAATTGTATTTGCCAGCCCACAGTTGGCCTTCCATCAATCCCTCTGCTGTCAACCTACCTCCCTTATCTCTGTGTGCCTGTGTGTTTACCAGGAACGAATCACACTCAAAATATGTCTTCAAAGGATTCTTTTTAAAACCCACAAAAAAGAACAGAGAAGGAGAAAGAGTAGAAAGAAGAGCTCAAAAATAAATAAATCATAAATAAATAGTTCATACCCCAGTTTTGTCTTTTGGTCGACCTTTTTCCTTGCTAAAGGTTATAAGGTGTCAGCTCGTTCTGCTATCACCCTTTGCCTCTTATGTTATCATTTGAACCTCAGTGTCACTGTCCAGATCTACAAGATGTGAGTCCAGCAGTGTACATATGCAGGAATAGCAGATATCAGCCTCATCTGTTGCTGACTGAAGCCCACTTGAAATTTGCCGCATTCATGCATGCCATTGTAATGCTACTCTGGTATATGCACATACTGAGCAAGGCCTTCAGGTGTGTCTTCCTACCAAATGAGAGAATAATCTGCCCATTCTACTGAAATCAGATGAATTTCTGCCCATTCTACTGAGATCAGATGAATTGAGGTATTCATGACTATATTTATATATTTTTATATTATGTTTATATAAACTGAAACTCCTTTGTTTAGTATAGAATTCTGTATAGTTGTATATAAATCACTCATACTGTTCTTCCTATTATATTTTTGATATTATATCCTTCATGATTATTAGTGGACTGTATAGGTGACATTGGGCCTCTCTTCCCTTTACAAATCAACAGCAAAGAATGGACAAGACCCATTTCTGAATTTTTCTTCTCATCCCTTATCTACATTCACTCTTCTACCTTTCCTGTGATTACTCTGCATCCTAACCATCGACGTTAACAAAACGTTTCCAATCACAAGATTATTAATAAAAGCTCTAATAATGCTTATTATGTCAAGAGACTCATCTTAAATTGAGAGTATTTTGATACTAAGAGTATTATCAAACCTGTTGAAACACATGCTTTTCAGCCATAAACTCCAATCAGCTTAACTACTTGTCAAACCAAAACAGCAGAGGCTAACTATGGGAGAAGAATGGAAACAACACAATCTGTTTATAAGCCTGTGCTCTGAAAAGTAGGTGGTTGGGGAGAGGAGCTTGGCAAACTAAGAATCTAAGATGGCCTTAAAATCCATGGAGTCCAAAGTTTTGTATAAAACATGGCAATAGGCAGTTTGGGATACAAGTGAGAATGGTCGTAAAGTGAGAAAAAGGATTTATCAGAGTCTAGTATTCATTCTCGATTTTAAAAAGCCCAGGAAACTAAGAAGAGAACTTCCTTACCTTGATAAAGGACATTTACAAAAATCCTACAGCTAATATACTTCATGGTAAAAGATGAAGACTTTCTCTAAGATCAAGAACAAAACCACGTCTATTCTCAGTATCTCTTCGATATTGTATGGAAAGTTCATAACCAGTTAAATAAGGCGGAAAAGAAGAAGATGGTAGAGGAGGCGATCCCAGCCTTTATCCCCCAACACAAAAACAAGTAGACCATGAGTGAAAGTAGCCCTGGTAGGACTCAAGAGTCCAATTATGAACCTATAGCAACACTGTTGAGCTGAAAATAATCACACACAAAGGATCTCTAGGGAGCTCAGCATTACTGAGGCATCTAGAGATAGCCAGGAACACAATATTTTAAAATTGTAGCAATGGTGTGTAAGTAATTCTAGTATAAGGGTTAAAAGACAAAAGTACTAAACATAATTATAGGTACCATAATTAATGGATACAGTGTACAAAAAGATGTAAATTGTGACAGAAACAAAATGGGGGAGAAAAGGGATAGGGTTTTTGTATATGATCAAAGTCAAGTTACCAGTTTAAAACACTGTTTTAAGATGTTCTATGTAAGCTTTGTGGCAAAGTGAAGCAAAACCCTGCAGTACTTAAAAGATAAGGAAAAAGAAATGAAAGCATATCACTACAGAAATCCATCGAATCACAAAGGAAAATGAAGAAGAAAGGAACAAGGAAACTACACAAACAGCCAAAAGACAACTAACAAGATAGTAATCTTCAGACCTTACTTCTCAGTAATTCAAATGTAAATGAATTAAATTCTATAAAAAGACATAAAATGGCTGAATGGATTTAAAAAATTTAAAAAGACCCAACTATATGCTGCCTTCAAGAGTCTCACTTCAGTTTTAAGGATACAACCAGGTTAAAAAAGGATAGAAAAAGGTATTTCATGCAAGTGTCAACCTAAAGAGATCAGGGTATAGAGTTCTATCAGACAAAATGGACTTTAAGTCAAAAACTAATTAGAGAAAGGTTATTATTAATACAAAAAGGTCAATTCATCAAGAGGATATACCAATAATAAGTATATATTCAGCCAATATCAGAGCACCTAAATACTCTAAACAAACATTAAAAGATCTAAAGGCATACATAGACAGCAGTGCAATAATAAGGGACCGGGCAGCCCGGTGGCTCAGCGGTTTAGTGACGCCTTCTGCCCAGGGCCTGATCCTGAAGATCCGGGATCAAGTCCCATGTCAGACTCCCTGCATGGAGCCTGCTTCTCTCTCTCTCTCTCTCTCTCTCTCTCTCTCTCTCTCTCTCTCGAATAAATAAAATCTTTTTAAAAAAATTGTAATAAGGGACCTCAGTACTCTACCTTCAACCATGGGTGTACCATCTGGACAGAAGATCAGTAAAGAAACATTGTACTTGTACTCCACCAGACCAAATGGAGCAACAGCAGTCCATCCAACAAGAGCAGAACACACATTCTTCTAAAGCACACATGAAATGTTCTCTTCCAACACATGTTCTGTCACAACTTTTTTTTTTAAAGATTTTATTTATTTATTCATGAGAGACACAAAGAAGTAGAGACAGAGGGAGAAGGGAGCCTGATGCAGGGAGCCCGATGTGGGACTCGATCCCAGGACTCCCAAGATCACGCCCTGAGCCAAAGGCAGACGCTCAACCACTGAACCACCCAGGCATCCCTCAAAACAAATCTTAAGTCTCAAATCATATCAAGTATCTTTTCCAACCACAACAGTATAAACTAGAAATCACTATCAGGAAGAAAGCTGGAAGATTCACAAATATGTAGATATTAAACACACTCCTGAACTACCTATGGTTCAAAGAAGTCACGAGGGAAATTGAAAATACACATATATGAGACAACAATGGAAATACAACACACCAAAAAAAAAAAATACAACACACCATAATGTATGAAATGGAGCTAAAAGTTTTAAAAGGGCAATTTATAGCAGTAGAAGCCTGTATTAAATAAAAATAAAGGTCTCAAAAGCGCTAACTTTAGAACTCAATAGAAGAAAGAAAAAACTGGCCCAAAGTTAGAAGGCAGAAAATAACAGAGCAGAGAGTAAAAAGACACTAAAGAAGATCAGTGACATTAAGAGTTTTTTTAAAAGATAAAATTGACACAAACTATGAGAAATGAGAAAAAAAACCCAAATAAAATCAGAAAGTGGGGACATTACAACTGATCCTGTACAAATGCAGAGAATCACAACAGACTACTAAACAATTGTATGCCAACAAATGGATAACCTAGGAAAGAAGTGGATAAATTTCTAGGAAAAAAATAAAACCAAGACTGAATTAGGAGCAAATGGAAAATATGAACAGACCAATTACTTAGTTGTAAAGATACTGAATCAATAATCAAAAACCTCCCAACAGACTAAAGTCTGGGACCAAATGGTTTCACTGGTGAATTCTACAGAACATTTAAAGAATTAATACCAATCTTTATTTTTAAGATTTTATTTATTCATGAGAGACACACAGAGAGGCAGAGACCTAGGCAGAGGGAGAAGCAAGCTCCCTGCAAGGAGCCCGATGTGAGACTCGATCCCAGACCCCGGAATCACACCCTGAGCCAAAGGCAGACACTCAACTGCTGAGCCACCCAGGCGTTCCAATACCAATCTTTATTAAACTTCCAAAAAATAGAATAAAACACTTTCCAAATTTATTTTATAAAAGGCTAACGTGAACCCTGATATCAAAAACAAAGATACCAAAAGAAAATTGCAAGCCAATATCTCTGATGAACCTGCATGCAAAAATCATCAACAAAAGACTAGCAAACCAATTTCAACACCACATTAAAAGGACTATACACCACAATACAATCAAGTGGGATTTATCCCTGGGATGCTAGGATGGTTCAACAAATGTAAATACACATGATATACTGCATTAACAAATGAAGTACAAAAATTCTATGATTGTTACAAGAGATTTAAAAAATAGATCTACCCTGTGATCCTGCATCAAAAGAGGAAAAAAACAGTATCTCATAGAGATATCTGTACTCTCATGTTCACTGCATCATTATTCACAATATCCAACATGAAACAACCTAAGTGACTGTCAACAAGTGAATGATTAAGGTAAGTGAGATGTATACACACACACACACACACACACACACACCCTGGCATATTATTCAGCCATAAAAAGTACAAACACTATGGTATCACTTATATGTGGAATCATAAAAAAACTTAACTCATAGAAACAATAGAATGATAGGAGGGGCAGAGGGTTAGGACAAAGGTGTTCAAAGGGTCAAACTTCTAATTAAAAGATGAATAATTTCTCAGGATATAATGCACAGCATGGCAACTATAGTTAATACTTTATATTGAAATTTGCTCTCAAATAGTAGATCTTTAGCATTCTTATGATACAAACACACGGTAACTGAGGTGATGGACATGGTAACTTGATTACGACAATCACAATGTATCTCTCAAACCATTGCACTGTATGCTTTATATACAGTTTTGTCAGTTCTAACTCAATGAAACTGAGAAGAAAATCATTCAAATTAGAGAGTATCTGGAGTATCTGTTTACAGATGACCCTAATAGATCACCTAAAAAAATCCAATGGAAGCTACAAAAATACTATTACGGCACAAGGTTGAAAAATCCAACAGGATCATCATGTAAAATATACAAACATCAGTTGTATTTCTGTGTACTACCAACAATCAACCCCCAAAGCATAAAAACATGCAACACTTAGGAATAAAAGGGACAAAAAATGTCAAAGACCTACACACATAAAACTCTAAAACACTGCTGAGACCACCTAAATAAATAAACATGATATTCATAGGGCAGAAGAGTCAATATTGCTAAGGTGTCATATTCCCCCAAATTGGTCTACAGGTTTAGTGTAATTCCTATCAAAATCACATCATGTTATTTGTTGTTGACATTGAAAAACTGAATCTAAAATTTATAGAAATGCAAAGGAAGACCTTGAACTCATCTCCACCAATACACCGAATGTATATCTATTTATTATAGAGAAATTCCTCCTGTATAACTGAAGGCTGACTGGATAGCTTCTAAACAACAAAAGACCACACAGAACAGCAAGAGAGGTGGAGACATAGTAACGAGAACACTCACCCCTGATGCTGCCAACTGCAGTGGGGAGGAACAGTACAGGGAAACCCTGAACAGGTTTGGCTGCTGTGGAACACAGCAAAAAAAATACCCCTTGGTTTTTGTTTTGTTTTTAAAAAGATTTTATTCATGAAAGACACAGGCAGAGACATAGGCAGAGGGAGAAGCAGGTTTCCCGCAGGGAGCCTGATGTGGGACTTGATCCCAGAGTCGTGGGATCATGACCTGAACCAAAGGCAGACACTAACCACTGAGCCACCCAGGTGTCCCAGAACCCCATTTTAAAAGGGCAACTGGAATATAAAGGCCTAAGACCCTACCAGATGGCAGAGGAGCTGTTTGAACTCTCTGGATCAGAGGAGCTAGTAAGCAGCACAGTTTACTTGCCCCCTTCCACCTTGACCGTGTGGATGGGAGTGGGCTCTGGGTGTCCAGGCTGGCCTGCCACCTGGGTGAGT